TTGATGATCATCTATCCCTAATTTTCAATTTTTTATCCAATGGCTTCTTTCTTGCTGCCTTCAAAGATGTCCAGACCTTTCCCATCCTTTAAAAACCTTCAATAGACTCAACCATACCTTCAAGTTATTGTCCTGTATTTTTCTCTTTCACAGCCAAATTCTTAGAAAGAGTCATATGCATTTGTTGCCTTCATTTCTTGACCTCCAATTCACTTCTTAGTTCCATTCTATCTGGCTTCCAACCCTACCACTTTGCCTAATACTGATGCGGTCTAGAGGTTAGGGGTCCTGGAACTCCAAAATCATGACACCCGGGTCCTGCCCAAAAGAATTGGGGCCCAGATTCCAACCCCATCAATACTACTCTCTTCAAGGTCACCAGTGGTGTCTTTATTGATAGATTGCAAGGATCTATTTTTCTCCTAGCCCTCATCTCTGGGTTTTTGTAAACATGACTCATGCTCATGCTCATGCTCATGCTCATTCTCTCTCTCTCTCTCTCTCTCTCTCTCTCTCTCTCTCTCTCTCTCTCCCTCTCTCTCTCTCTCCCCTCTCCTCTCTCTTTCTCCCTCTTTTTCTCGGTCTCCTCCTCTCTCTCACTGTCTGTCGCCCTCCTCTGTCTCAGTCTGTCAGTCTCTGCCACTCTCCCTCTCTCTCATCCCCCTCCCCTTGGTGATCTTATCAGCTCCTAAGGATTCTACTATAGCGCAGAAGACTGACCAATCTACATGTCAATCAATATGCAATTTATTAAATATTTACAATAGTGCTCAGGAGTTATAAAGCCATTGGGATACAAAGAAAGAGAAAAAACAGTCCAAGCTCTCAAGGCTATTACATTATAATGGGGACAAATAGATAAATAAAAGATACATTCAGACTAAAAGAAAAGTAATCCAAAGGAAAGTTAGAAGGAAAAGTTTTAGCAGTTGGAGTGACCAGGAAACACCTCCAGCTGAAGATGGCTTTGTAACCGAGTCTAGGAGGAAGTGAGAAACTCTGAAAGTCATTCTGAAGGAGGTAAAGCATTCTAAGCATCGGAGATAGCTCAAAAAAAGTAAGGAGACCAGAAGAATACATCAAGTTCCCATTTTTTCTCCTGAACTTGAGTCTCACATCCCCACCTGCAAGCTGGACATTTCCATTTGAAAGTCACATATACATCTCAGATTCAGTATGCCCCAAACAAAATTCATTATTATTCCCTCTAAAGCCACCCTTCCTCATAACATGCAATTCTGCCAGGACATCACCATTGTTCTAGGAATCACCCTGAACTCTTCGCTTTCTCTTACTCCCCCTATCCAATTAGTTCCCAAATCTTGTTGGTCTCACCACCTCAACATCTGTCACACTTCACCTTTTTCTACTGACCTCTACTCACTCTAAAACCATCGAAGTCAGTCAATAAGCATTTATTAAGTACTGACTTTGTGCCAGGCAACTAGGTGACACAGTGAATAAAGTGCCAAAACCTGGAGTCAGGAAGATTCATCCTGAGTTCAAATCCAGCCTCAGCCACTTTTTAGCTGTGTGACATTGGCCAAGTCACTTAACTCTGTTTGCCTCAGCTTTTTCATCTGTAAAATGGGCTGGAGAAGGAAATGGCAAACCACTCTAGTATTCTTGTCAAGAAAACCCTAAATGGGGTCATGAAGAATCAGACATGATCGAAAAATGACTGAATAATGTGCCAGGCACTATGCTAAGTACAAAGGGTGCAAAGAAAGACAGAAACATAATCCCTACCCTTAAGGAGCTCACATTCTACTGGCGGAGACAATGTATACATGTAGCACTCATGAAAGATAATTTCAGAGTAGGGCGCTGAGTGGAGGATAGGGAGCAGGAGGTAAAGGACACTTGCAGATGAGATTTGAGTCTTGAACGAAGCTAGAAGGTGGAGGCAAGGAGGGAGAACATCTACTCATGGGAGTCAGTGAAATGGCACAGAATTGAGAAATTGAGTCATGTATGAAGAACAGCAAACAGACCAGTGTAACTGAATTGTAGAGTATTTGGAGAAGAGAAACTGTGTAAGAAAATGGAAAGGAAGGACCAAGGCAGTGATGGGATTAAAAACCAAACAGGAATTTATATTTGATCCTGGAGTTAACAGGGAACAATTGGAATTTATTGGGTGGGGAGGGAGGTTGACATGTTCAAACCTGGGCTTTAGGAAAATCACTTTGGTCACTAAGTGTAGTGTACCAGAGTGGTAAGAACAGCCAGAAAGTTATTGCAACAGTCCAAATGTGAAGTAATGACAGCCTGCACCAGAGCAGCAGTTGTGTAAGTGATGAGAAGGGATACAGACAAGAGATATTGTGAACAGAAAAACAAGAAGACTTGGCAATACAAAGTATGTGGGGCAAATGCAAATGAGCTTATAATCTAATAAAGAAAAATAATATATAAAAGGAAGCTGGGGAAAGGGAGAAGAGAGACCCAGGCACCTGGCATGGGAATGTGGTAGAGAAAGTCTGAATTATTATTTTGGTGTTTAACTGGAGTTTTTAATTAGTTGGCTCTCTTAAGGTCAATGCATTAGATCTAAAAAAAAAATCCTTAAGAGAGCCAACTAATTAAAAACTCCAGTAAAAACATCAAAACAGTTGTTCAGAAAATCAAAGAAATTGACTAAATTAAAAGTGAAAAAATTTAAGCACATTGAATTAATAACTAAAACTTGGAGCTTTTTTTAAAAAAGCAAATAGATACATGTTTTAGCGAATCTGATATTTAAAAAGAAAGAAAACCAAATTACCTGTATCAAAAATTAAGAAGAAAAATTCACAACAAATGAGGAAAGAAAAGGAATTATTAAAAAATTATTTTACCCAATTATATGACAATAAACCTGACAATCTAAATGAAATGTATGAGTAATTACAAAAATATAATATGCCCAAATTAAAAGAAAAAGAATTAAGGATTTAAATAAACGAATCTCAAAAAAAAAGATATTAAATAAGCCATGAATGACCTCCCAGAGTGTGAAAAAAAAATCCTAGGATCAGATTAATTTACAAGCAAATTCTATCAAACATTTAAAGAATAATTTTTTCCAATATTAAGTAAGCTATATGGTTATATCTGTTGACATAATTATTTGATTTTTGTGTTCTTGTGATTGATATAGTCTACTATGTTGATTTTGTTGTTCAGTTGTGTCTGACTCTCCATGACCTCATTTGGAGTTTTCTTGGCAAAGATACAGGAGTGTTTTGCCATTTCCTTCTCCATCTCATTTTACAGATGAGGAACTGAGGCGAACAGGGTTATGTGACTTGCCCAGGGTCATACAGCTAGGAAGTATCTGAGACCAGATTTGAACTCGGGAAAATGAGTCTTTCTGACTCCAGGCCTGACACTCTATCCACTGAACCTAGCTATCCCCTTTTGGTACCAGTTAAGAAATAGAGAGGTCAATCAGTGGAATACATTAGGTATATGATATACACAAGCAAATGAACACAGTAGTCTCCTGTTTTATAAACCCAAAGATCCCAGCTATTGGGGCAAGAACTCAATACTCAACAAAAACTCCTTGGAAAACTGGAAAGCAGTTTTGTAGAAACCAGATATAGAACAATATTTTATCCATATATGAAGATAAGCTACAAATGGGTATATGACTTAGACATAAAAGTGACATCATAAGCAAATTAGAGGAGCAAAGTAGCAATTATTTTTCAGATGCATGCGTGGGTAAAGAGTTCATGACCAAACAACAGATAAAGTGGGAAAAAGAAAGTAAAATGAACTATTTTTATTACATAAAATTAAAAAAGTTGTTTTCACAAAACCAAAGCAGCTAAAATTAGAAGAGAAGAAGGTAAATGCAGGGGAAAGTCTTTGCCCCAGACTTCTCTGATAAAGGTCTCATTTCTAATCTATAAAGGGAAGTGATTCAAATTTATAAGAATAGGAGCCATTACCCAATTGATAAATCATCGAAGGCTATGAACAGATAGATCTCAAGTGAAGAAACTCAGACTATAGCCATATAAATAAGGCTGCAAGACATAATAATTAAGAGGACTGCACATTAGAACTGCTCTGGGGTTCTGCTTCATATCTATCTATTCATATATCTAGATTTGCAAAACTGACAACAGAGGAAAATGACAAAGGCTAGAGGGGCTGTGGGAAAACTGAGACATTAATGAATTGCGGGTGGAGCTGACAGCAGATCCAACCATTTAGGAAAGTAACTCTGCATACCCTTTGACCCAAAGATATCACTACCACATCTGTACCTAAAATGGATCAAAGAAAGAGAAAAAGAACTCATATATACAAAAATATTTGTAACAACACTTTTTGTAGTGGCAAAGAACTAGAAACTAAGGAGATTCTCATCAGCTGGGGAATGGCTAAACAGATTATGGTTATATGAATGTGATAGACTGCTACTGTGCTCTAAGAAATAATGAAGGGGACAGTTTCAGAGAAACCTGAGAAGACTTGTATGAATTGACACAGAATGAAGTGAGCAAAACTAGAACAATATATATAACAACACTGTAAAGGAAATTAATTTTGAAAGACATAAGAACTCTGATCAATCAAAGGACCAACCACAATTCCAGAGGACTGAAACATGCTACCCACCTCCTAATAAGTGATGAATTCAAGGTACTCATTGAGACACATATATTTTTGCACATGGCCAATGCAGGAATTTGTTTTGCTTCACTGTATATTTTTACATGGGTTTTGCTTTTCTTCCTTTTTTTTCAAGAGGGTGGGGTAGTGTGAGGGAGAGATGGGTTTTTATTCATTGAAAATAAAATAATTTTAAGAACAGAGAAAGCAAGGTCTCTGCTTTTATACAATATACAGCACCTGGTACATATTATGTATACTCACTGAGAAAGAAGGTAGAGCTCTCCATCTCAAAGTTTTTTCATTATAAATAAGGCAGTGGGTAGGACAGGAAAGTATGCTATCCCGTAACAGATACTTGCTTGTGCAAACTAATCTGCCTCTCTTACCCATCAGAATCCAGGCCATCTCCAGAACAACGTAGATTCACAGTATTCATGGCTGGAGGTTGGCAATCTACACAAACAGTATAACCCTCTCGAAGGTACTGCATCCAGCGGGTCAGGGGACGATTTTCCATAGCACAGTAATGAGTCAAGGATTCTGTCTTGAACTCCATACAATATCTATAGGAGAAGAAAGTTAAAGACAATTTCATAAGTTGTACTATAGGTATGAGACATAGGGAACCTTAGGAATAGTGTTCTCAAAATCAATGTGGCATTATGGAAAGAATGCCTAACTTGGCATCAGAAGCCATGGCTTAGAACCCAGCTTTGCAGGGGCAGCTAGGTGGCGCAGTGGATAGAGCACTGGCCCTGGATTCAGGAGGACCTGAGTTCGAATCTGGCTTCAGACACATAATACTTACTATAGCTGTGTGACCCTGGACAAGTTACTTAACCCCATTGCCTAGCCAAAAAAAAAAAAAGAACCCAGCTTTGTGCCTAACTGTTCCACTCCTTAGAAGCATCCCAATACTTAGAATTTTTTATTATCAGACTGAAAAATAACCAGAAACCTAGCACCAAAACCATGTGCACTTAAGCTTTCTCATTCTTAATTTCCTCATCCAAAAAAAAAAAAAGAGGGTACCATCCCCAGCTCCCACAACTATCTATCCCACAGGGTTGTTATGAGAAAAGTACTTTATTATGTGTAAAATTGTTGTTTGTCCAATGACATCATGAAGTAATATCTTGACTTGTTCATGAATTGAATTTAAGTGAGGCAGAATTGTACAAACTTGTCAGCCTCACTCTCTCTTCCAGAGTCATAAAAGTCCAGTGGCAGCACAAAACTCAAGACAACTGGTGATGGCCTGGAGTGCAGTGTATGTCTTCAATGTTCGACCAAGCTCTCAATGCTCCACAGGGCCTGCTTTAGTGGCCGTCATGGCCCTTGAAACAAAGTGTTCTCATCTACACATTTCAATGAGGGAAGTTTTCACATGCTTAGGGTAAACATCCCCCTAATCCATCAACAGGTTTGAAGCCTCAGCCTGGTTTAGCCCATCGGCCATGACAGTTTTACTGGAGTGTGGCTGCTGTGCATGCTACATGTTCTTGGAGACGTAGGTGAGAGCTGGGTAAAGGTAGACACCAAAAGTGGATGAGCAGTACATGGAGTGTTGAGGGAGCTCTGGTGAGAGGGTTTGCCAAGCCCTTCTCAGGGCTGCTCATCCAAGTGTGAACTGCTACACATATGCAAACTATTAGTACTGTCACAATATTTTTTTTTTATCTTGGAAAATGTAGTGAAATAAGTAGTTATTTGGTGATCTCTCCAATTTTGGATTAGAAGCTTATTTGTTGGCTGATTTTTATCATCTTTTCTCTTCCTAATCCATGATTCATTCACTCCTACAAAGCAAAAAAAAACTGATATCTTGTTTCCTGGACATAGTTCTTAAATTAAGTGTAAGAAGGAATTTTAGCTTCTCATTTGCATTTTTTATTTAATTTTGTGGGTTTTTTAATTGTTGGGAATTTCTTTTTTATCTCTGTTATCCCTATCACTTTCTCCCCCCAAAACAAGAAAAATAAAACCCTTATAATACATCAGCAGAGTCAATGTTGCCTACTTTTCAAAGAATTTTACAAAGTTAGACAAATTAAGGTTGAGAAAGGCAGCATGCCTTCAAGACGTTTTGTGTTTCAGTAGACTAACAGATCTTTAACTTTTCCCTCAAAGAGCTTTTGTTGATGTGGCTTATGATCTATCATTATTTATTATATTAGAAGTTAAAACAACTTAGTATTATGAAGATAATTTCGAATTGTGGATCCCCTGAAAAGGTCTCAGGGATCCCTATTATCCCTGGACCACACCTGGAGAATATCTGTATTAGACCAATGGAAAACAAGTCCTATGGGTTAATTCTAACAGTCATGAGTAGACAGAATGGAAGAGATTCTAACAATTTGTGAATAGTTCTCAAAGGAGAACTTTCAGGCACAGGTGAGGATTTTCAGAGTTGCTAAAAACAAAGGGAAATCTAATAGCAGAAGCCATGTTCATTTGAGATTTAAATGTTATTTTATTTATAGCTCTAATATAAAAACAAAGAAGAAAATTCCAAGGACAATTGCAGAAAATATCACTTTGACACTATTATTTCCTTACTGAGTTACAAAGAAAGACTTCTGAAAATAAAGATCTGTGACAGATTATTAAGGAAGGTTGAAAAATAATGTTTTAAGTATCTATCCTGTTCTCAAAAGTCTTATCCACAGGCAGGTTAATGAACTACATGATCTGTTGGAAGGAACTTTATCCCAGCTCAGTTGTCTTTCACATGGTGAGATATCCTTGTGGTAGAGAAGAAAGGATGCTGGAGTTAGAATGAGGACCAGGTTCAAATCATGCCTCTGACATATTAACTTTGTGACTATGGGCAAGTCATATGATCTCTGTTAGCCTTAGGCTCCTCATCTGCAAAATGAAGTAATAGTACTTCTGCTACTTGCTTCACAGGGTTGTTGTGGGAAAATAAGCAGCACTATACAAATCTGAGGTTTTCATAAGTGTTATACATGCCACTTTGAAATGCACCTAGCAGAAGTTATGCTGTTGTCTATAGAACCCAGACTCTATAAATATTGATAATAATTCAAGTTTATATTGTGCTTTAAGGTTCACAAAGAGGGCTATTCATAAGCCATCCTGTTGGGTGGGTAGAGAAAATATTATTTCCCATATTTTACAAATGAAGAAACTGAGGATATGAGAATTTAAGTGATTTGCCCACAGTCATACAGCTAATAAGTATCAAGCTGATACTTCCAGTCTCTTTCCGTTATATCAAAGTGCACTAATTCACAAAGTGATGTGATCATTTCTACCTGAACCACCTTGAGCAAGTCACCTCTCTGGGTCTCATTTTCTTCCTCCAAAAAATGAAGGGGTCGGATTAGATGATCTAAGATCCTCCAGCTTTAGATATGTGATCTTACAATTCCATTTTTATAGAAAACCTTTCTCCAAAGAACTCAGAATTCAAACCTAATTTAATCTTTATGGCATTCATAAAACCATGAAGAAGACATATATTCTCTGCTCTGTGGTAGTGGCAGAGATATTAAATTCAGAAAGAATAAAGGCACCATACAAGTCGATAAAAAAGCAAATTCAATTATTCAGCTTAGATTGCGTCTATGTGCACAAACAGGCTTGACTTTTTTATTACTGACCTGACTATTCAACCTTCAAATTTCAAATAAAAAATTACCCAGCATCCCCTGTGTCTGCAGACCACTGTGGAGATAACACCTGTCTTTTTCTCTCCTTGTTGTATGCAGAGGTAGTGATAAAAGCAGGAACTGCAAAGGAAAGGATTGTATTAAAAAAAATACAGTCTAAAAAATAAAGCACTTACAGTAGCGTTCCCAGTCCTTTGGCTTTATGACACTTATCTTGAAAAGTTCTAAGTTTCCCACGACCCATCAAACTAGGTCATGAGAGGGTAAATGGAAATATCCCCTTAACCATATTTGAGAGAGGTTTAGACACAAATTTTATGAAAGGAAGGAAATGGAGCTCAGATCCATGACTTCAGGATGGGATGGCCCATGTCTGTAGTCCATGCTAGTGGGGAGACTGAGGTTTAGTGGATTGCTTGAGTTCAGGAGTTCCAACCTGCAGTAGAGTTAATGCAGACTTGGCATCTGAACTAAGTCTAGCAGCAATGTGGTGAACCCCTGGATGGAGTAGTAGTGGGGTGAGAGAAACTAAGATGCTGAACTAAGTAGAAGGAAACCAGACCAGATTGGAAAAAGGGAGATTAAATCTTGCATGATGATTAGCATTGGTTTGGAGTCCATAACTGGCCTCTGCACTTCCAGTCTGAGAGAGGTAGGGAAATTCAGCCTCAAAAATAAAATATACTAAAAAGGAGAAAGGAGAGGAGAAAAGGAAAAATGAAATGGCAAATAAAAAAGAACTTAAAGGGATATATTTAAAAAGAAGTAGGTCAAGTTAATGAACACTTATTAAGCACTTATTATATACTAGACACTGTACTAAGTTCAGGTTATAGAAATAAATTCAAAAATAGTCTATGCCTTCAAAGAGTTCAAAATCTAATGAGAGATATGACACGCAAACAATTATGCACAAAAAAGACATACACAGGATAAAATGGAGATAATCTCAGGGCAAAGGCATTAGAATTAAGGGAGATCAAGAAAGGCTTCTTGCAGAAGGCAGAATATTAGCTAAATATTAGCTCAATCTGAAGTTAGGAAGTTAAGAATTCCAAGAATGGGGGACAGTCAGTGAAAATGCAAGGAATCAGGAGATGCAGTGTCCTTTACTAAGAACAAGGAGACCAGTATCACTAGACTGTAGAGTATGTTAAGGAGAATAAGGTATAAAAAGACTAGAAAGTCAGGGAGAGGCCAAGTTATAAAGGACTTTAAAACAAACAGGATTTTATATTTGATGCTGGGGGCAATAAGGAGCCACTGAAATGTATTGAATGAGTTAGGGGGAAGAGGGGAGAGGGGTGACATGGTCAAACATGCTTTAGGAAGATCACTTTGACAGCTGATTGTAGGATGGACTGGAATGGAGAGAGACATGGGGCAAGGAGACCAACCTTATAGTAGTCTATTGTAATAATCCAGGTGTTTGTAATGAGGGCCTGCTCCAAGTTTGCAACAGTGTCAGAGGAGCAGCAACTAGGTGGCATAGTGGATAGAGCTCTGGCCTTGGAGTCAAGAGGACCTGAGTTCAAGTCCGGCCTCAGACACTTGACATTTACATTTACTAGCGGTGTGACCTTGGGCAAGTCACTTAACCCTGATTGCCTCACCAAAAAGCAAAAAACAAACAAAAACAAAACAAAACAAAAAACAGTGTCAGAGGAAAGAAAAGGGCATAAAGGAAAGATGTTACAAAGGTAGAATCAATAAGGTTTGGTAAATGAGAGAGTGAGGAGGGATGACACCTAGGTTGAGAGCCTTTCTTCTTTCTCCTTTTTAAATTTTCTTTTCTTTTCTACCTGTCCCGTCTCCTCTATACCTTCCTACAAGTGATCTCATTCTTTCCCAACTTCTCCAGCAGATTGTGCCCTCTATCATTCCTACTCTCTCACTTATATATATTATGTTATATATATTATGTGTGTATATATACACACATGTTTTACATATATGTATCCATGTCTACATATATGTATACACATATGCTACGGTTTTAGTTTCTAAAGCTGTTCTGTACTGAGATTCTTTCCTCTTTCATTTCAGACTGGAGTCTCCAATAACAAGCACACCTAAAGGATTTTGTGCTCCTCATTACTTCCCCGTTTCTAATTATTTGAATGATCATGTTTTTATTAGCTTAAGTGGGGAAAAAAATCATCTACTAGTAAATACATGCATCATAATAAAAGTAGCCCATGAACTTTTCAATTCACATTACTTGGATTTATTTTTATTTTAAAGAAAAGGTACAATGCCTTCTAATGAGTGGCTAATATGTTCATACAAAAGTTTAAACTAATTGCTCTTAACCCAAAGCTTAGAAGCAAGTGAAACGCTTCATTTCGATTAGATTCAGCCAAGGACGACATGGTGGCTGTCCACAGGAAGGGGGCAGGCTATCCAAATTCAAGTCCTATCTACCCACCCTGTTGTAATGAGTTAGGGAATAAAAAGAAAGAAAAGCCTCCTTTAGAGAAGGGAGGTCACAGGATCTGAGGCTACAAAATGCCTACCTAAAAACTTATCGTGGTGTAATGGAAAGAAAATTAGATATAAAACCTGGTCTTACTCAGTCACTTGTGTGACTTAGGTAAGACATTTCCCTTCTATAGATATCAGTTTCTGCCTCTATAAAATGAGGTTCTGAGAAGTCACAGGTTAAGAGTTTTAAGCTTAAGGTCACATAGCTCATAAATGAGGAGAGAGAATTGGAACCCAGATTTTAAATTTTCTTTCTTTTCTACCTGTCCCGTCTCCTCTATACCTTCCTACAAGTGATCTCCTTCTTTCCCAACTTCTCCAGCAGATTGTCCCCTCTATCATTCCTACTCCAGATCACTAGTCTATGGGGCCTTTCCCTGCCCCACCAGATTCAAGAGTCTTCCCCAAAATGATCTTCGATCTACTCTGCATGTATCTTAAATGTACCTAATTATCTACATCTTGTCTCCCACACTAGAAGAACACCTTCTGAGCAGGAGCTGTTTTTGCCTTTCTTTGCTTAGCACAGTGCCTGGCACGTAATAGACACTTAATACATCCTTTTTGATTGGATTATTGATCAATCCAACCAATAAGGCTAGGTCCTATAGTGGTAAACTATTGCAATTCCCACTGCATATTTCTACTGGGCTGGGATCAATGACCATATTACAGCATTACGACTTCAAATAGTACGAATTTCAATGGGACCACTTTAGTGGATTCATTATTCCTACTAAGCAGGATCGAGCTATTCTACTGGAGAGCTTCTCCTTAGGGCCAGTGATTGTTATTGTGGTTTTGCCCCAGTCCATAGTGTTTATGTATTTCCAGTATCTTAAGGAGTATCATTAAAGTCTTTAAAATTCTCAAAGCAAAATTAGCAAATAAATGTGGGTATTTGCTGATGTGTCTAACAGCACTCTGAAGATTAGAGGAAGGTCAAGAAATCAAAGAACCCTAAAGTATCACAATTCTAAAAGCATTTAGGAGCTAATCATCTAAACCTAATTCCACCTATTCTATGCAAATTTTATAGGTGTCTAGGTATTTTCTCACCCATTTGAATATAAGCTCCTTGAGGGCAAGAACTATTTTTTGCCTTTCTTTTTAAGTCCAGCAATTAGCACAGTGCCTTAAACATGGCAAGCACTGACTAAATGATTGTCGACTGACTGACCCTGGGGCCAACAAAACTTCAGAAGTTGGTTACCAAGTTGATGTCCTTTGCTCCTCCTGGGTGAGGAGTGAAAGGGCACTGACATCCTGGTAGCTCTTGTTTAGAGATTTCCAGGACACTTCCCTTGTGTCCTCAATGAGTTCAGTACCTAGGTCACAATCTTTCTCTCTTCCCCAACTCCTGACTTCATACTAGACTTCAACATACATATACATCCTTAAACACTCTAACCTCCCAGTTCCTCAATTTCTTCATTTCCCATTACCTTCACCTCTATCTCACCCCCTAGCCATACACAAAAATGTTCACACCTTTCTCTTGCCATCACCCACAAATTCACCACTTCCAGTTTCATAAACTCTGAAATTCCTGCTCACAATCTATTGGATTTCCACATCTCCCTCCCACCAAATACCAAAGTTTGCTCTTCGTGTACACCATGGCGTCCAAACCTTCAATCCTGTCCCCACTTCTCTCCCAGGCCAAACTCTCTTCCTTTCCCCATCATCACCTCTTATTGAACAACCTCAACTCTGCATTGTCCTCTTGAGTCCCCTTATCCTATTACTTCTTGTGTCCTGCCAAGCCTCAGTCTTGGATCATTCCCTCCATCTAAGCCTTTGCTCATATGTTTGGGCTTCTGAATGAAGGTGGAGAAAAATAAAGCAATGATTTTTAGGGAGTCCACTACAAACTTATGTTAAATAACCTCAAATGGACCCTCAATCCTTCCTCATCTCTTGAATTAACTCACTATCCCATTCACCACAACAGTTCTTCCAAACCTTTACATCCCTTGTGAATCACCCTCCTCCATATTCTGAACTAAGAATGTTGGCTCCTATTTTACTGAAAAAAAATTGAGGCCTGTTACTAAGAGCTCCCTCTTCTCCCTTCCTCCTCACCTCATATAATTCAGATGTCTTCTACCATTAACTCCTCCTTCACCTCTGTCCCACATGAAGAGGTGGCTCTTGCCAAGACAAACTCCTCTACCCTCCTAAGTGATCCCCTTGTATCCTGCCTCTTCCAGAAGATTGCACCCTCAACTATCCCCACTCTCCCATTCATCTTCATCCTCTCCCTATCTATTAGTTGCTTCCCTGCTGCCTACAAACATCCCCTGTCTTGTCCATGCTCAAAAAAACATCATTTGATCCTTCTATGCCAGCTATCATTCCAGTTCTCCTGCTTTTTGTGGCTAAATTCTTTGAGAAGGGCAATCATAATAAGTGCCTCCACTTCCTCTCCTCCTAACAATCTACAACCTGGCTTCCTACCTTAGTCATCTGAAACTGCTCTTTCCAAAGTCACCAGTGATCTCTTACTTGCCAAATCTAATAGCCTTTTATCAATCCTCATCCTCCTTGACCTCTCTCTGCAGCATCTGATATTGTTGACTACCCTCTTCTTCTTAATACTCTCTTCTCTCTCTTGGTTTTCAGGACATTCTCTCCTGTTTTTCCTCCTTTTATCAAACCACTCCTTCTCAGTCTCTAGTTCCTACACCCTACACATGGGTGTCTCCCAGAACTGTGTCCCAGACCTTCTTCTCACTTCCCTCTATATTATTTCACTTGCTGATCTCATAAGCTCCCATAGATTCAATTATCATCTCTTTATTGATGATTCTCAAGTTTACTTACTCAGCCCTCCCTGCTGACCTTCAGTGTCATATCTCCAATTGCCTATTAGACACCTTGAACTGTGTATCCCATAGACATCTTAAACTCAACATGTCCAAAATTGAATTATCTTTTCCCAAAACCCTCCCTCTTCTCTATAACTGGAAGGGCACCACCATCTTCCCCATCCTCCAAAAGCTCAACCTAGGTATCATCTTTGACTCCTCGTTATCTGCCAAGTCCTGTCAATTTCACCTTTGCAATATCTTTCAAATATTTCCTCTTCTCTCCTCTGACACTGTTACCACCTAGGTGCAGGACTTCATCTCATCATGTCTCGACTATAGCAATAGCCTGTTTGTTGGTATGTCTTCAACAAGTCTTTCCCCACTCCAGCTGCAAAAGTAATTTTCCTAAAGTGAAGGTCTGACCATGTTAATTCCCTTATCACCTTTCCAGTCTTCTCACACCTTATACCTCATCCTCAGCCTTGTACTCTTTGATACAGGTTCACTGGCCTCGATATTCCTTAAGCAAGACTCTCCATCTCTCAGCTCTGGGTATTTTCACTGGCCATCCCCCAAGCCTGGAATGCTCTCCCTCCTTCTCTCTGCCTCCTGGCTTCCTTCAAGTCCCAGCTAAAATTCTACCTGCTCAAGGAAGCCTTTCCTCTTCCCTCTTAATTTCAGGGCTTTCTCTTTGTTGATTATTTCCTACTTATCCTGCATATTTCTTGTTTGTGCCTGCAGGCACGGATTGTCTTTTGCCTCCTTTCGAATCACCAGTGCTTAACACAATGTCTGGCACGTAGAATATGCTTAATAAATGCTTATCATGTACTTACTGGTGCAAGACCAATGCTGCCTTTAGGCCCTCTACCCACTAGATAGTGAGGAACTGTGAAGGTAAGAGAATACAAGAAGCATTTGGTCTTGTCCTCTCCCCTCAAGAGAGATCTCTATAGATGAGACCAGTTAGGGATTAATTTGGATGAACAAACTCCTCTTTTAAAATACAATCACCTCCTTAGAGAGTTAACCTTATCCTTAGCATAACAGACTTCAATCAGAAAACCAGACTGTTTTTCTCCTATCTTAAGGAAAGAAATGGGGGAAGGGTACATCAGAGAAAGGCAGCCTGGGCAGGGTGCTGTAATACGGCACTTTGGAAAGCCAGAGGACAATGGAGGGCAATAGGAATCTGAAGACCAGAGACAAGGAACGCTAGAAGGTAAGAGCAAAGTATAGGGACAAAAAAAGTAGGGGGAGGGGAGTTGGGACAATTTTCATCTACCTAGCCAGCAGATTTACCTTTTTTTCCCACTAAAACGTTTTTCTGCTGCCTTTAGCATGCGTTTCACAGAATGCCCTGAAATAGTTGTACCTGACCTAGATGTATGAGTATCAAATGTGTTCTTAAAGGTGGAAGAGTAAAAAAAGGTCACTTGACTTAAAGTGTAAAGACTGGTTCATTTCCCAGCAAGGCCACTTACTAACTGCACCACCTTAGACAATAAATAAATAAACATTTATTAAGTGCCTATTATGTTCCATGAACATAAGTGCTGGGGATACAAAAAGAGGCAAGACAATCCCTGTCCTCAAGGAGCTCACGATCTAATTAGGCAGAAAACATACAAGCAATATGAACAAAGCAAGCTATATACAGGATAAATAGGAAATATTCAACAGAGAGAAGGCATTGGAATTAAGCGGGGGTTAGAAAAGGCTTCCTAGAAGGTAGAATTTTAGCTGGGACTTGAAGAAAGTCAGGGAGGTCAGCAGTCAGAGTGGAGAAGGGAAAGCATTCTAGATAGTAAGGACAGCAAGTCCAGAACCAACAGATGGTGTCTTGTTAGTGGAATAGCCAGGAGCCCAGTGTCACTGACTCAAAGAGCACATGGTAGGGAGTAAGATATAATAAGACCGGAGAGGTGAAAGGGGGCTAGGTTATGAAGGACTTTGAATGCCAAATAGAATATTTTGTATTTGACCCTACAGGCAATAGGGAGCTACTGGAGTTTATTGAGTAGATGGTGACTTGATTGGACCTAAACTTTAGGCAAATCACTTTAGTGGCTGAATGGAGGATGGATTTGAGTAAGGAGACTTGAGGCAGGGCAGACCCACCCGCAGGTTATTACAGTAATGCAGACATTAGATTAGGAGGGCGTTCACTAGAGTGAAGGCAGCATCAGAGGAGAGAAGGGGGCATATTGGAGAGATGTTGCAAAGTTGAAAATGACAGGCACTGGCAACATCTTGGATGGGGGCCAAGGTGAGAGATGGTGGACAGTCCAGGCTGACATCTAGGTTGGAGCCTAAGGTACTGGGAGGAGGATGTTGCCCTCTACAGTATTAAGGAGGGGGGGGGGAGGTTAGGGCGAAAGATAATGAATTTCATTTTGAACACTTTACTTCTCTGGGTATCAGTTTCCTCTAAATGTATTGCCTGCACTAAATCTAGGATTTCTGTGCTTTTTCTTTGCCAAGTGGTAAAAAAGAGCCATAATAGTGACAGTCTGTTGTGTCACAAGACAGTGCTGTGGGTCCTTATTACAGGATTTTACAAATAAAACCTTTAATAGTCCAGTCCATTCTAGCAGCCAAAGGCTGGGTGGGACTGGCTTTTTATTTTAATTTGAGAGAATGAAAAATATGTTTTAAAGGAATAAACTGATAGTTCCTAAAAAGTCCATTTATCCTTGCCCCTTTTTAAAAGAGACACTGTGTGCAAGAACCCACTAGTCGTGAACCCTCGATTTTGAATTCTCTCTCTTTTTTTTGAGCAACTACATTTCTGGGTGCTAATAATATAGGATACTTAATTATAAATTTGGCATTGCTACCCTTATAATTAAAATGGGGATTTGTTATTTAGGGTATTTTTATACCATTTAAGGAAAATTTTCTCTTATGCATGTATGTTCAAAATGGAGAAAATGCTCCTATGAAAATGCATTACAGTGCCTGAAATATATTAGGCACTTTATAAATGTTTTTATGTGCTATATGCTAGCTATTATTTTTATTACAAAGCAAGGTGCAGAGTCAACCTGTTTCTTCATGTAAAAAAAATTGCCATACTTTGTGCTAAGCATTTTGTCATCAGCATTAGTCCTAAACACTATAGCTTATGATAACAGCACAAGCCATTTGGGGGCATCATTGTATCACTGTACTTAGTGTGATATATTTTCCGTGTTACTGTGCATAAATCGGTCAGAGGGCTTGAAGAAACATGTCTGATAGACTATGTAAGAAAAACTGGCAGGAAGGAAGACATTTGTTATTGGTCTATCATTCCTTCAGCATAAGGGTTGTATCATGGAACAGTCTGGTTAAGCCTATGGACCTCTTCTCAGAATCACATTTTTAGAATTCCTCCCATATGTAGACCTCAACATTCCATTTCCTCCTTTCTCCTTCTCCTCACTTCCCAATCTTGACCTAGGAGGGCTTTTTTTCTTTTTCTAACAGCAATAAATAATATTTTTTGTATGAAATGGTGAAGAGTACTATTATAAGAAGATAACAACAATGACAAACAGGAATACCATATGAATGCCAACAATCCTGTCCATGAGAAGTTGTGTATTCCAGACAGCCAGCTTTCTCTTCAAGATGTGGGCAAGGCTCCCCACCATTCTGAGGTTCCTGCTGCACATAACGTCTCCGCACACGTGTTGCAGGTTTACACTGGTCTGCACAACTGCTCCAGGGACTCCATTCTCCCACAATGCATGGGCGAGCTAGAAAGTAAAATGATAAAACATTTATGGTAGTGAACTTCTCCAGTAGATCACATTGGCACCCCATTATCTTTTCTAATGTAGAATTTAAAGTTCAACACCATCTAAATTAGGTTTTGGCTGATATACAGTTGAAAAGGTAGCATACAAATCCTAGATTATTTCCATTTGTCTTGCCCCTACAACTATTCCTAGAAACTATGATTGTTTAATATCACAACACATACCAGATATCAGAATATCACAATGCACCAGACAGACTTGGTAAACCTCTTTCCATTAATGATTGATAGGTAAACCTGCAGGGACCCTTCTCTCAAAACCCCAAAGTGGATTTTAGGTCCATTTAAAAAAAATAAATACTGTCCTAGAGAAGGTCCAACCTTGATCCATATGAAGCAGATCCAAGAAGACTTAGCCTAGAGTAGGACCATCCCAGAAGATTCAGTCCCTGTCACTGAGAACTAATAAAGCTATGGAATACCAGAGCTAAAAGAACCTTAGAGATCATTTAGTATAACTCCCACCTTTTATAGATGAATAAACTGAGAGTCAGTAAAGTTTAAGTATCACAAAGTTATTGGCATAGCCAGGACATGAACCCAAGTCTTCCTAGTTCAGAGCTTTCTCCATATACTATGTTATAAGATATTAAGAGAACCTCAGACTATAACCTTGACTTCTAGAACTGCCTTAGGATTTGGTCTGCCCAAGATAAGACACGACCTCCCAAGGCAGCTCAAGATAAGAGACAAATTGCTATGGGTGGCACAAGTTTCCTAGAACTGACCTGGACACTTTGGAGACAAGGATATTGTCCCCAGTGGGCAGAATGAAGCTGGCTACTCCCAGTTTCCCATGGATTGATTCTATTTCCTCATTCACCTGATAGAACACATCAGGTCAGATATCATGTTCCTTTAAAAAGACTGAGATGTCTGTTTACCAAATTTGCTATTGAGTCATTTTTAGTTTGTCTCAAAAAGCCACAAACCAGGATTTCAAGGTCAGATATTATTGAGTTCTTGAAAATCCATTATGCCAATTTAATGGTCAAGAAAAGATTTTTAAGAGATCCTGTTGCTTTTAGATTTATTTCCCTGAGGATTTAGAATGAGATAAAGGATAATAATAATAATGACAATAATGACAACAACAATAATAGTCACTAGCATTTATGTAGTGCTTTAAGTTTGCAAAGCAAAGATTGCTGCTGTTTTTTGTGAATGCTATGTCATTATTGAGCCTGCAGAGTTCATTCTTGTTTCATGCAAACTAGCCTTGCCTCTCCTATCTTGTACTTTTGAAGCCATCACTTTGTGAATCACCCTCTCTGGGGAATGAGTGGCTATACGACTAGATATTCCGGGAGATCCTACATCATATCTTTTATACATTTCCAGGAAAAACTACAGACCTCTCTGTTAGCTTTGTCAGGTTGGCAAAGAGCTGCTTTAGTATCCCTCAGTATGGAGTCACCAATCATCGCTATTTGTTTCTTCTCTAACCAAATGACCTCTTACTTTCTGTGTTTTCAAGGAACACTTCATTTTACTGATAACCTGGAAAGTGAACAAATGTTCTTAAACCCCTTTCTCTCCTCTTCTGGGAGGGAGGCCAAGCTGAACTTTGAGCATAGATAACAGCTACTTGGCCCTGGCAGAAAGAAAAGCAACACCTACTTCAAAGAACTCTCTATAAAATTCTTCCTTTTCACCATATTTTCCCAGAATCAAGATCTTCAGTTCTTCCCCTTTCTTATAGCAACTACTTGGGGGTCCTCAACATGAAAACTTTTACTCCCTTTATCTCATTAGCACCCTGAGGGGCACATTCAGTTTCATCCTCTCTCCCCTCCTTTCCCAGTTTAAATCCTTCAGTTTCAAAGCTCTCCAGATCTTCATCACACTTTCTCCTTTCCCTCAAGTCTTTCTCTCAACTTACCCTTCTTATTACATAGGTGCATGGGATATGCCCCTAGCTAAAATGAAAATGAATATTGCTTTTAGAGTATATTTAAGATCCTGCACTTCTTCAAAAATTTTGGTTCACTTTTAAATTTTTGTTTGGTTCTTCTGGTTTGTTCCAAAGGTATTTATAGTCCCTGGATGAAAAGGCAATCCAAATGGCAAGTTACTGTTTTCTGTCATTGTTACTGTTGCTTCAGGTTTGAACTTGGCAGAAAGAGGCTTCCTGTTTTGTTTGAAACCCATGACTTTAAAAGACCCATCAAAGAGATTCAGAAAGTTTTGTAGACTTTGAAATACAATATTTAAGAGATTTAACTGAGATACAAATTGAATATATTCATTTGAAAATAGTTACAAATAAAAAGGTAATCCCCAAACCATCAAGTTGAAAGATTTGTACACAATGTTTGTTCCCTTCCTGAATATAATAAAACACAATAATCTATTCTTGATTTATTTTTGTGTTTTTGATTATTTTGACTGCAATTTCTTTTTGCCAAATAAGGACTAGTTTTTTGAAGGCAGAGTTGGAGGGGAAACATGGAGGTTCTAGCTGGACTGAATATTAAGTAAGGATCATACATAATTACAGCTGCATGACAACAATCTCATTTTAAATCTAATGCATTACTATTCAGTACCCTTTCCCTCTGATGCTTATCCCATTCAATTTAACTCACATCTCTGTAAATCCCTCCAAAGGTTCTCTTAAAATTCAGCATTCTTAGCATCCATTTCTTTTTCACTAGTTACTAATGACACCCGACAAGACATTTTGTCTGTTCCATGATATTCTGAATTGTCATCACTACAAGTTAACTGCAATCTCCCAGTTTCTGAAAACTCTGTTAAAATTTGATCCCTTTGGGTTATCCTAGGAATTTGGGGTACTTTGCTGACAGCCAGGGATTATAGATTCAACAGATACCAGAAAGCAAGGTCACCAGTTTCTATAAAAATTTATTTTAGTCAGTATCTGCTAAGTGTGCAAGGCCTTATGTCTAGCAATAGGAAAACACAGCAAATGAGACATGGTCCTGGCCCACAAAGAACTTAAGAGTTTTCCAGAGCAATAAGATGGATGCACGTGCGCACACACACACACACACACACACACACACACACAAACACACAAACATACACACATGACATAAGACAGAATGTGCTAAATACCAGGTAGGAATCCAAATAAAGTTCTATGACAAATATAAAATGAGAGTAATCACTTCCAGTAGAAGGAAGCAGGAAAGATTCCAGGGAGAAAATGGTACCCTTGTTGGGCCTTGAGGGAAACTGAGGAAGAAATAAAAGAAGAAATGAAGTTGCTGTTCACCATGGCTTTTACTTCAGAAAAGATGAAGAGGATTTAGGGCCCCTCAAGAGTATGAAAAATTTTATAAGTGATAAGTGAACTTTAAACAATCAGCATTTTAGAAAATAAATTGTAAAGGCTGGGGAGAGTAAAGTTAATCGGATTGATTTAGGGTTGAAAGCTACCTATTGAGGAAGTAATCTGGTCCAATGCTTCACTTTAGAGATGAGAAAACTAAGAACTAAAGAGGTTAAGTGACTACCCAAGGGCACACAAATAGTAAGTAGCAGAGCTAGGATTTGAACTCAGGTCCTTTGACCCTAAATCCAAGGCTCTTTCCAATATAACAGAGAGAATATGGGAAGGAAAGTACTAAAGGGAAAGAGAGTTAGGAAGATAGAAGTAATATCCTAACAGCAGATAATAAAGAATCTTCTTAGACAAAAACATGCAAAAAGGAAAAACATTTATTAACTCCTACTAAAGCTAAATATTGCTGGGAACTAAACTAAAAACATTACCCATCCCTGCCCCCACTGTTTTCTATCTCTGAGTCAGCTCTATCTGCATCAGGGAAAAACCCTCAAATCAAGGCATCCCAAGTCTGTAACTGCCTGATATTTTGAATGATTCTCAGAAACAATGATGCTTATTCAGATTATGCAGATCTCACTTTCTCATTTGCCACACTTTCTCATTCTATGCTATTTTTGTCACTGTATCCCTAGAAAGTCTCCCAGCTGGACCTCCCTACACATAGCAGGCCTTCCTTTGGTAGCAGCACAGACAGGGAAAACTGAAACTATCCCATCTGAAGGAAGAGGACTTGGGTCTGAATCCTGATTCTACCACATTGTGCTACTTGGCTAACCTTGGGCTTAGTTTCTTCATCTGTAAAACAAATGGGTTGAACTCAATTAGAGATATCAAATTTTCTGCCAGCAAAGAGACTGGAACCAGATTAAAAGGTAATTGGAAAATGTTTAACAAAATAAGTAAAAATACAAAACAATGTAATGTTAAGTTGTGATTTTCTAAATCAATACCCCAAATCTCAGGGTTTCTATTAGTCTTTGACACCCCTGACTACATCATCTAGAAGATTCATTCTAGATCTGGAACCCTCTTCTTCTTTTAGTACTTCAGAGCTATTAACTTATTATAAGAGTCGTCTATCTGCAACCTCCCATTCTCAATATATGACTAACCTGCCTTCTTTTGCACCATTTCTTGCACCAAAGGCATTCTTAAGAAGATGCTATAAATTATTTATACCTGCTGTGTATCCTCCCATTCCCCTTTGTTCTGCGGTTCAGTCATTTTTCAATCATGTCCGATTCTTCATGACCTCATTTGGGGTTTTCTTGACAAAGATTCTGGAGTGGTTTGCCATTTCCTTCCCCAGGTCATTTTACAGATGAGGAACTGAGGCAAACAGGGTTAAATGACCTGCCCAGGGTCACACAGATAGTAGATTTCTGAGGCCAGATTTGAACTCAGTAAGATGAGTCTCACTGACTCCAGGTCAGGCACTCAATCCATTGTGCCACCTAGCTGCCCCCATTCCCCTGTGGGTTATTTGTAAATTTAGGGATGTGCTGTAGCCACCTTGAACTGGGCTTGAAAAAGTCAGTTGTTAAATTTTCAGTGTGAGCATTTATAACTCAGAAATCAGCAAGTGCCACAAATCAGGATATGATTTATTGTTTTGTTGATTA